CATTTTATAGTGTTAGAATGTAAAACCATTAGCTTATTCTTCAACATTATGATTTACTGAAAAATCAGTAAATTCAAAGCATTAATAAACACAAAGATCAATGGTATCTTCAGGATATGGAAGATTGTGTCCAGTGGTTCTAAATCTTAGATGAGTCTCAGTAACTTGCTACACATATATAAATACTGTTCAAACGGACAGGCTTTAAGATGATCATTAGGCATGTTGAAGCAATTCTAATGTAAGAAGAATTTGTTTAATAAGAAGGTAAACTGGGAGGGACATTGTAAAGAATTGCAACAGCGTCATTCATAGGCTTAAAAGATGGAATAGCACAACTACTTGATGTACAGAACACACTTTCAATTTCCTTCTTTAAAGCAGCACAAACTTGGCTTAGAAGAGGCACAAAAAAATTCAATATATTGCTTCTTGGAATGGTGCTGGTATGGTGTCAAGAAAATATTTCCTAGGCTCAGCCTATATTTTCCCAGAAATTAGAAGAATGAGGTACAGTAATCTCACTTAAATACACAAAATTCTTAAAGGGCTTGCTGGATAGTTGTTGACAAGTCTAGAACTGCTAACCACAATCTCAGAATACGGAGTTAGTGTCATAGAGTCAGAGTTGTAACAGACCCTTTGGTCCAACTCGTTCACGCCAACCAGATATCCTAAATTAATCTAGTCCCATATGCCAACATTTGGCCCATATCCCTCTAAACCCTTCCTATTCATGTACCCATCCAGATGCCTTTTAAATGCTGTACTTGTACAGCCTCCACCACTTACTCTGGCAGCTCACTCCATACAGGCACCACCTTCTGCATGAAAAGGTTGCCCTTTAGGTCCCTTTTAAATCTTTCCCCTCTCACCTTAAACCTTAGCCCTCTAGTTTTGGACTCCCCTACCCTGGGAAGACCACTTTGGCTATTCACACTGTCCATGCCCTTCACGATTTTATAAACTTCTATAAGGTCAGCCCCTCAGTGACCGATGGAAAAATAGTCCCAGGCTATTCAGACTCTCCTTTTAGGTCAAACCCTCCAAATTTGGCAACATCATTGTAAATCTTTTCCACACCCTTTCAAGTTTAACACCTTTCCTATAGCGGGGAGACCAGAACTGAACCAGAATTAGCTATTCAGGACCAAAATTAAGAGAAATTTATTCACAAAGTAGATGTTGGTGTGCTCGCCGAGTTGGGAGGTTTAATAGCAGACATTTCGTTCCTTTACTAGGTGACATCCTCAGTGCTGCGGAGCCTCCACAGCACTGAGGATGTCACTAGTAAAGGGACGCAACGTCAGCTATCAAACCTCGCAGCTCGACGAACACAACAGCATCTACAGCCAGCACCCAAGCTGCAAATCTTCACTCAAACCCTTATTCACAACGTGTTACTAATCTTTGTAATTTGCTGTGGACACAAACAGGCAAGTAGACCAATTACCCCCTTGAGCCTGTGCTGCCATTTAGAGACCACAGCTGTTCTGTAAGCTATTTTTGCCTTTAAATATCCTTGTATAATAAATCTCAAATTTAGTACTTGCAACTGAACAATCGTCACCTGCGGAAGAAAGTTCAATCTTATCCCATCTTTTGCATGAAGAAGTGATCCTAATTTCACCTCTGAATGATCTGGTTCTAGCCTTTATGCAATGATCCTCATCATGAAGCCCCCATCAAGGAGATACTGTTTTTCAATATCCACTCCATCTTGTGCCCAGATTAAACGGAAAAGGTCATCAATCACACCTTAACCTTGTAAATCTCAAGGAATACAACCCTACCTCTCCTTGCATTTAACTCTATAAATCCAGTTATATCCAAGTAAACTTGGGCTGTGCTCTTTCCAAACCCAATATATCCCCTCCTGGGGCATGATGCCAAGCTCTGTTCAAAGTACTCGAGGTACGGTCTAAACAGAGCTTTGTATAGCTACAGCATTACTTTTAAAAGTAGTTATTCAGGTCATCTAGATACAAATGCCAGGATTCCATTAGCCTTTTTGCTTATTTTCTGCACGTGTTCATGCCATTTCATTGACCTAAGCACCTGAACCCCTGAACTCCACGTTCGTTTGGACTTCACTTTTTCTATTTTTTCACCACTTAGAAAGTATCAGGTTCTATTCTTTTTAAATCTAAAGTGGATGACACATATTTGCCTAGACTGAAATCCATTTGCCAGAGTTTTGGCCATTCACTTAATCTAACGACTTATCCATGTAATTTAATGCCTCCACCTACAGGGCTTACAAATGCCACATATCTTTGTGCCATTTGTAAATTTAGGCATGGTTTTCTATCCTATCATCCAAGCCATTAATAAATATGGTAAATAGTTGAGGCATCAACACAAATCCTTGCAGGTCACCACTTACCTCCAGTTAGAGTACTTTTCCATTATCTCTATTCCATCACCTATGTGCAGCCAAATTCCTAATCAGGTCAATAATTACCTTAGTTTCAAATTTAGCAAACAATATTTTAAGGAACCAAACAGTCTTTGCAGTACATTCACTTTAAACATGTGCCATATCTCACCAAGATCAATCCAACTAATGCCACTTTCTCAGTAGTCCGCAATTTCCTCTTACTCAATTCTCCTGAAGAAAAAAAGATTTGATAGACTCCACTGCCCTCTCAGCAGCACTTTCTAGACTATAGCCATTCCCTGTATTAAAAAAATTGTTCTCCATGTTATCTTTGGTTCTTTCGCTAATCACCTTAAATCTGTTTTCTCTAGTTCTTCACCCAAGAGGCAAGTCCACGTAAGTAACATACATAGACATTCCCAAATTTCAAATCAGTTTCAGTAGGCATGGTCCATTTTTAACAAATCCATGTTGGTTTTCTTTGATCAGCTGAATGTTTTTCAGTTACTGAGCAGGACATATTGGTGACATTGAAAGCAAGTTGTGGTTTGGAACAACAATTCAGACTGTACCTTATAACTGTTGCAGATGGAAACTCTAGTCAAATGAACTGCCTCTGTACATACCATGACAACAGCATCAGGCTCATACGGAACATTGTAGTTCTTTGCTATCTCGATTAAGTATCTCTCCACAAGGATTTTGGGTGGTGCCTCAACACTTAGCTTGAGCATAAGCTGAAAGGGAATTCAATGAATGAGAAACAGTGCAAAAAGGTGAAATCTTGGAATTCCAAGAAACTACCACAGCCGTTTATAAAGGAACAATGCAAAACAAAATTAACTATCACTAGATTAGTGCAGGCTATCAAATAATCAGAACTTGCATTTTGGGTAGGAGGTAGAAACGGGCAGTGCGGGTTGGGGAACTATCAGGTTGGAGGCTGTGGATTGGAGATCTCCTTAAGTGATGAGGTTGTTGATGGTCTGAAAGATGATGGCTTGGAGATAGTATCGAGATTTCAATCTATAAACCCAACTGCCCCAGTCGATCATTGTCTCTGCCTGTTCCTGCCCCATCGAGCTCATCTCCTACTTCGACTCCATTCTTTCTCCTTTTGTCCAGCAACTCCCTACCTACATTCGGGACACAACCCATGCCCTCCACCTTTTCTAAAATTTTCAATTCCCCAGCCCCCAACATCTTCACCATGAACATACAATCCCTGTACACGTGTATCCCCCACAGGGAGGGCCTAAAAGCCCTCCATTTCTTCCTCTCCCGTAGGTCCAACCAGTCTCCCTCCAGTGACACTCATTCGCTTGGCTGAACAGGTCCTCACTCTCAGCAATTTTTATATTTTGCCTTGGGAGCTTACACCCCAATGGCTTCAACATTGACCTCACCAACTTCAAAATCCCTCCACCCCCAGCCTTATCCCATGTCTAGCCTGCCCTTCTCACCACCCTGAACTGACCTAACCTGTCCATCTTACTACCCACCTATCCACTCCACCCTTCCCATGGACCAATCACAATAACCCCCTAGCTGCATCCACCTATCATCATCTCTCCTACCCTTCCCCCATCCCCCATCCCCCAGCCCCTCCCCCTACATCTATATCTGGGCTCCCCTCCCCCTCCCCAGTCCTGATGAAGGGTTTCGACCTGTAACATTGACTTTCCTGCTCCTCTGATGCTGTCTGACCTGTTGTGCCTCACTTTTGTCAAAATTTGTTTTTTTGCAATGAAGAGGTAGGCAACCTCTTTCGAGCAAAGGATTTTATAAAAAGCTAGATTGCATTTACCCTTTCATTTACAGTCCCTATTTGGTTTGTTCTGCAAAGTTTTCCATACTCCTTGCTGTACTTGGCACACAGCTGATCTGAGACCTATAAAGAAAGAAAACATCAAATATTGCTCTGTAGATCAGAAATCCTAAAACGGAAAATAAGAAAAACTGAATCATCTGGAGGTCTCAAAATAATAAGCAAATGGCAGCATTGCAGTACTTCTTGGTAAAAGGTTGTTCTAATGGGAATCATGGGATTCTTAGTACAAAACAATGTGATTGAAAACTTGTCTGTTCAAAACAAAGAATCATCATAATCTAAGCAAAAGGTAGCCTTTCAGGGAATTTCATGGTTTATTTGTATCTTCCCCCCTTTGGAATTTAGAAGAACAACAGGGAAATTGTATAGAAACCTATAATATTCCAAGAGGACCAGACAGGGGATTCCCGATAAGTGGGGAGACCAGAACTAGAAATCACAGTCTAAGGGAGTGGACAGCACATTTAGGACTGAGATGCGGAGAAATTTCTTCACCTAGAGAATTGTAAACCAATCGAATTCTCTGCAAAAGAAAGCAGTTCTAGCCAAAACCTTGACTATTTTCAAGAAGGAGTTAGATATAATTCTTAGGGATAACGGGATCAAAAAGTGTATGGGAATAGTGAACTGAGATGGATGGTCAGCCATGATCATATTGAATGGGAGAACAGGCTTGAAGGGCTGAATAGCCTACACCTGCTCCTATTTTCTATGTTTCTAATAAAGGGCATGATGGTAGATAGGGAATGCCTATTATTTTAATAATTATCACATAGTTTATAATACATTTACATTATTTTGAGGCACAAAAAGAGAACAGAAAATGTGATTTAAACATAGTTAACACGAAAAATTAAAGATTATAGGAAGAGGCTTATAAAGTCTCTAAAAAGTAATATGCTGAAAGATTTGAAGCATTTTAGAATACCACAAGGGGGACCGAGAAGTTGATAAAGGAAGAGAAAATAGAAATGAAAGTAAACTAGTGAGAAACATGAAGACTGTAAACAAAAACAAAAAAAGCACAGGAGAAACTCAGCAGGTCTGGCAGCAACTTGGAGAGAAAACAGAATCAAAATTCAAGAACACCATATTCCTTTCATAAATTCATGTTGATTCAACCCAGTCCTACCATTATTTTCTGAGTGTCTGGTTATCACATCCTCTATGATGGATTTTAACATTTTGTTTGCTACTGGTGTTAGATAAATAGGTCTGTCACTTCCTTATTGTTATGGCTTTCACCACTTAGGAATGTAGATCATCAGGTCCCAGATATTTATCAACTTTCAGGCCCATTAATTTCTCCAATACTATTTTTTTTAAACTGATATTAATTTGTTAGTATAATACTAATGGGTTAGTATCCAAATCACATGAAATTCATAAATCATGAAAATCTACATGCATATAAATATGAAAGTGAGTAGTACTTACATAAAAGGAGTTTTACAGAAATTAAAACGAGAAACAATGCCAGTAATAGTGTAGATCCATTAAAGCAAAACTAAAAATGATTAAATACAAAAGTTGGAAAATTAATAAAAATAATGAGATTCCTTTGTTAAAAGGAATCACAGCATGCTAAGTCTAATTTCAGGGTTAAATCACACTTTTTTTGAAGCAATGAATTATGAAGGCTTTTTAACTACTGTTCTCAAAGCTACAAAATTTAACCTTCCCAGACTATTCACTCATCATCTTTAAATGTACAAAATGAAATTATTGAGCAAGAAAAATGATACATGGTTCAAAACCAATGAGAAACAGATCAAAATTTAAGGCAGAAAAGTCCTGTGTAATATTTTGGAAAAATTTAGTTTTGTTTACAATTCTATCCCCATTTTTCATATGTAGAATCAAACATGGTAACTCAATTCAATAATGACAATTTACGGTTATTTGCAAAAATTAAACTTGCAGCGCATGTGCTAGAGATTACAAGATTAACTTAAATATAACCACAAATATCTTCAATTTAAAATGATTTGGGCAATGTAAGAAGCCATCCAAATAAACATACTTAAAGAGCATTCCTCTGCCAATAGAGTTTCCCCCACCAAAATACAGGTATTTGTTGAATGAATTGTATAATTCACTTATTGATCACATGCTATCACTAAGGTACTGGGCTCATTGGAGCATAGGTCAGAGTATCACCCCAACTGTCCTCAGTCTGACCCATGCTCCCACTGAGAAGGGCTCCTTGAGGAGACATAGGATTACAGAACATGTCCTTGTAACTGTCTAATTTCTAATTTTACATGTAAAGCTAGCATCAAACTTAACTTTTAAGGTAAAAGATCAAATATCAAAATTCACAAAAAGAACCAGAAACAGAGGTGGTTTCTCAGTATGCCTTGACGTCAAGATGGAAAATATAATGAAAGGTACAGAATTTATTGTTTTCCATTTAAGGTGAGTGAGAAAAAGGTTACAATTACAAACAGATTAGGATATGAGTAATTGTGTTCAGTTGCCTACAAAGTGAATCGAGGCAAACTCGTAGCACTCACACACATCATTTTTGAGCTAATAAGGAAAACAAAATAATTTATTCACAAATACTTTATACTGCACAAATTCCATGAACAAATCTGGAAATAAATATTTTCTAGTGCTCTACTTGCAGTCACTAACTGACAACTTAGCACTAGCATCTCACAGCAAACTTGGACATGCAGAATACATGCAAAACAGCAGCAGGATATTGCAGCCTTGCTACCTCCACCACCAATCACTGCTACTTACTATTTTCAATTCTGCTACTTCAGCATGAAACCTTGGGGCAGCCCAGATTAATGTAGACACTGCCTCTGCCAGACCTGTATCCAGTTCCCTGAGTAAAAAGGGGCAGATGGAAACCACAACTCATCAGTAGTCCACTTTAAACGAATACTTACAACTCTCAATTCAGCAACTTCAGTCTGGAGACGTGGGGCAGCCCAAATCAGAGTGGAAATAGATTCACTGAGGCCTGTGTCAAGTTCCCTGCATGTACACGGAGGGAAAAAATGTAGATTATAAATAAAACATTTCCTTTTGCAACTTTTTTGTAACAGATTCTTCACCCCATCCAACTTTTTAAAAAAGTCAGTTGTTGACCCACAATTGCAAATCAAATTGAGAAATCACCTGTGGGGTTTGTTTTCTCAAAATGAAATGCACAGACATTTCTAGAAAAGATACACCCACTACTCAAATCCAGAGTTGCCTAGTTTGGCAAATGCAATGCTTAGCTCCTATTCTCCAATATACATGTGTTCTACCAGTTAAAACTACTGTTTATAAGCTTGCCTAACTCAGACCTTGTTCTTCACCAGAGAACAGCTTGTAAAGTTTCAAGTGGGAAGAACCCCAGACGCACTGGCATTTTTACTTTTCCAGGTGCCATTACTGAACTAGGCTGGTCAATCATTACTAACACCCTGGAATACTACTGATCTAACTGGTTTAAATATTAGATACCCGAGTTTTCTATAAATACCTAACCTAGTTTATCTTCCCTTACCCCAACAACTAATTCAACAACTACTCACCACACCTCCATCCCCCTGTTGGTAAGATCCAAAACACAATATTCAATAGCTAGTTGTCAGGCAACTGACGAGCACAGGTTTGAACCTGTTCTAGGTGGTTATAAGTAGAACAACTTTTACTTTTGACAGAAAACGCAACTTTGAACCCTAACAGAGTATTGCTTTGTCTCAGCAAATAAAGAATGGTGGTAAATATAAACATGCAACTAAGTGCAAAATAATCCATCAACTTAACATTATACCCAATTTTGGCGAAGCAATTTGATAATTCTAGCGTTCAGACATTGAGGTAATAAATATATGCTTCACAGAAAAACATGATACCATTAATAAGCACCATAAATTATTTCACTGTTAAATTCTTTTTCAATTATATTGGGCCTTTGTCAATATTAAGAATTCATTAACACAGGAAATTAACGAATGATCTGCCCTAAAGCATGAACACAGTACCTATTGTTAGTATTGAGATTTTCAGAGAAGTGGCTAACAATTGTACCGTTTTGGCAGAACATCTAAATGTCAACAACAATGCAGCAAATGTTCTGTTACAAATTTAAAACTAGCATCATGTGACTTTTCACCTTTCAGTCAAAAGTAGCACTCTAACACTTTGCTGATTAGCCACATAAGATACTCAAGAGTAAAACAGCACGCACAACCAAAAGTCTGCATGCTTCATGCAACAGTACAACTGTATCATGGTTACATACTTCATTGATTGGATCATGCCAAAGCGTGCAAGCAACAAATCACAGTACAGTTCCAGAATTTCCATTGCTTCTACCAAGTAGTCCTCTCGAATGATGTGCTCAACACGGATTCGGGCCCTTTCATCTTTCCCAGCTGAAAGGTAATCTGCAATTTCCTTCCTGGCTTTCTGCGCTAACTCAGCTGTAAGAAACCAAACAGTAACAAATGGTGTAATGTTTTTCAATTTCCATATTTTAATTAAACATTTAATATTTTACATAACAAGTAACTGAACCTCAAAATACAGTACCATAAAGCTGGACAAGTAACAAGTCATTACACATCAACAGTTATAGCAGATCACAACAAATGAGTCAATGTTTGAAGTTTCAAATAATCCTTCCAACATCAAAGGCTGATTCAAACACAGTAGAAATTATGAATGACCAGTGTTGGTGTAAGTTGTCAATATTTTGAAACAAGAAAAACCCAACCATAATTCATATTAAATTAATGTGGCATGTTCTATTGAATGAATTAATTCTAAAAGGATATCTTTACCACAATTAAAACGCTATAAAAATGTCAGATTCATGATCTTGAGCATCCACTGCAAAGTGTTCGTTGAATTTGTTCTGAGTCATTATGGCAAATGACACCAAACCTTTGGAACTCAACTGGTTGCAGGTCACCAAACTGAAAAAGAAACCCTTACCTTCACTTGCTGTTTCCTGCCCATTAGCCAATTCTCTATCCACGCCATTCTCTTAATTCATTGCTAAAATCAAGTGGAATATCTAATTTACTCTAATGATTGTTGTGTTCTAATAGAACACAGCAATAGTTAACAGCATACATATTAGCAACTCTTATGTGAAAACAATTTCTTCATCAACTACCTACCTATTCATTATAACCTTGATCTTATCCCATAAGAATAAGCACCAATAAAATAGCTACACCAACTACAGCTTTAAAGCCTTTGCTGAATACAGAATTTGATACGACTCAGAGGCTCAGATTCTTTCAGCAAGTGACTCACCTTCTGACTCTAAAACCACAAGTCAGGAGTGTGATGGAATATTCCCCACTTGCCTGGTTGAGTGGAGCTACAACATCAACATCCAGGACAAGACAGCCTGCTTGATTCATATCACATCCACAAACATTCACTGCCTCCACGCTTATTAGAAACAGCATGCCCCATCTGTATGATGCACTGCAGAAAATCACCAAGGCTGCTTAGACAGCATTCCCAAAACCACAACTATTTTCTTCTCAAAGGACTAGGGCAACAGATACAGCAACAGATACACCAACTGTAAATTCTCCCCAGTGCCACTCACCATCCAAATTTGGAAGTAGTGTATATTACCTTTCCTTCAATGTTGCTGGCCAAAATCCTCGAACTCCCTCTGTACCTGTGGGTTTTTAATTGTGGATGTACCTATACCAAATGGACCGCAGCCATTCAAGAAGGCAGCTCACCACCAGCTTCTCAAGGGCAAATGGGGATAGGCAATAACTGTTGGCCCAGCCAGTAATGTCTTTCATGAGTGAATTTTAAAAATCCATATGCATTGCATTTAAGATGAATCTGTAATCATTTCAATACTTTTCCAAGAACTTATTCTGACAATGCTGTAGGACATTGGTTGGTTCCTGTCTTTATGGAGCATTGCATCTCCAACATCTTCAGACTGAACTGCTGCTTCTTCCATTCTCATCAGTTTTTCACTAATACAGATTTCCCTCACTGCAGCACAGTCATTTGACAAATTGACAAATACTACGACTTTTAGCTTGAAACCAGCTTAGCACTTCATTCTCACTGTTTGAGGACTTATTCTCTTCACCAGGCTCAGCTTGCAGTGTGGAAGTGTCTTGCACTCCTGCACATTTTCTTGGCAACATATATGGCCTGTTGATACCACGTGCTGACATAAGCTGAGTAAAGCATGCATTGCAGAAGGGAAAAATTGAGGCCTGTTCCTAATAAGTACAGCATTTCTTCATGGAAAAGGGTATGTTAACTTATAGGCCATGTTTAGAATCAAACATGAATCTGGTGCCAGAACGATATGGTCGCCTTATATGTCAGATCTATTCCTACATCATGATCTAAGGTGGACCACAGTGGTTCAGCTCCAATAAATACAGGAAATGCTTTATGAATGAGCTATTGAAGCCACTTGGATAACAACAATTAACTATATCAAGCAGCAAGTCACTAACTATTTCACAAAAGGAAAAGTACTTACTTTTCTTTTTCTCCAGTAGCTTGAGCCTGTTGATGACAAGTCGTAGGTTGACCCGCAACCGTTCAGGTCTAAATCCTGATCCTAGCATGACTGTACTTTGAAAACTGAAACAACCTTGCAGATTTTTTAAACAGTAAACTGTAAGAAACCAAAAAAAAAGAAAATGTTTCAGCTAGGTTTTAACATTCATCCCACATCCAAATGACAACTAGTTACGCCAGCTATCAACACTTGTTTTGGTTTTATCCTTCCAGCTCTTTACTAGTTCAACTTACCAATGAATCCTGTCCCAGTATATTATTTTTTCCCCGGTCTTAACCAAACTGATCTTTGCAAACTTATTTAGTACCATAATTCAGGGTGAATGTCACTTTCCTCTGATTAATGTTGTCCTGTAACTCCCTCCCCAAGTCTCCTGATCATTAACAACCTTCTCAAACCATTTCTTTCATAAAACTGGAACTGTTTCTCCTGGTTTATTTTTGGCTTGGCATCCATGTTCCTTATGCCTAACTAAGAGACACTTTGACAAGTATTTTCATGCTTAAATTAAACAATATTCTCTTACATAGAAATCACAAACAAAAAAAGACCATTTAACCCAACCAGACAGTCAGCATTTAAACTTTAAGAGCAGTTGTCCTTATCACATGAGCCCATTATTTCTACACCTTTCCTTCAACCATCTATTCCATAATGCAAAGTTTCTGTTTCCATCATCAATTCTGCACAGAGATAATTTTAAACACATGATCCCTGATTCCCATATCCCAACCCAGAAGAAAGTCTTTTTCAATTCACTTACAAAACTTTTAGTCCCTCCCAGTTTTAGTGTAAATAGTCCCAGCATCTCAAGTCTCTCCTCATAATGCAGTTCTCCATCCCAAGTATCAGTCTAGTTACTATGCATGTGAGAAAGGTCTCTTTTCATAAATGGGATTGTTTCTTTCCACTTCGCGTATCACTGCAGTTAGAATTTGAATACAGAAAAATCAGTGATGCATACCAAGTAAACAATTCACTACCCAGCTAAATAGATTGCAAGTTGCTGATCTATTTCAATAGGAGAGATGTTGGTGTAGTGGAAATGTCACTAAACTAACAATCCAAAGATGGGTAATGCTTTGCGGACAAAGCCCACTATGACAGCTCATGGAAATTAAGTTCAATTCATAAAATCTGGAATGAAAGCTAGTCCCAGGAATAGTGGCCACGAAAACTATCATTGTGCGATCATCACAAAAATTCATCTGGTTCACTACTGTAATTCAGGTAAGGAAATTTTCCTTCCTTACCTGTTACGGCATACACGTAATTGCGGTCCACAGGGATTTGGTTGAATTAACCACCCTCTGAAATAGCCTAGCAAGCCACTCAATCCGCAGGCTATTAAGAATGAGCAACAAATGCATGTCTTGTCAACAGCACACACACTCCACAAAATAATCATTTATTTTTAAATCTAATATTCAAGTATCTCGCTTTCACCCCATGAACTATTTTTCAGTTATAATGTAGGAAAGGGATAGTCAATGTGAACTCAACAATCTCCCACAGACAGCAATGAAATGTGTTTAATTTGGGGGCAGATTGAGATACAAGAATTCTTCGCTCTTCCCCAAATAGCACATTGGCATCTTTCATTTTCATTCCAGAGTTCATCCGAAAGCCAACAGTGTGGTTGGGTGAGGCGTACAGATCTCTGGAGTGGCGTTTGGACCGCGCAACCGTTTCGCCGAGAATTAAGTGAGAATGTGACAGTAACTCAATACTGATCCGAACAGTATTGTTTTTAATTCTACTTAAAGCAGCATCAACCAAAGAAACTGTTTTAACAATAACCCTTAACACCGACAAAAGAATGTAAAAGTTTCTCCAGCTCGATCAGAGCCAGCATCAAAGCCAGGCTCCCACAGTTCGTTCCTGTGATCAGTTCGAAGTAAAAATCAGCTAAACTGGGTCTAACCCTCAAACTTTATTTACAAGACACAGGCTCCAGTAAGTTATTTACTTTAGGCCTTAAGAGCCCCTTGAGTATGGAAACACGGAAGTGAGTTGAGGGATGCTAAGATGCCGCACTCAGAGAAGTGTCTGACGCCCGAGGTTTGCCAGATACATGACACTGCCAGACCCGGTCTGTTCGGCTAAGCTAGGCTGGAGCCAGTGCAGCGACCACCCCTTATCTCTCCCCCTCACTCACCTAACGACCCTCAGAAAGCACCACCGTCACGACCACCGTCACGTCACCGGTCACCTGATAGAACCGCTGACGTCACCGATCACCTGACACCTCCACCGCCGCAACGCCGGATGTGACGCAATGCCTTTTGACTGGGAGTAGTTCAAACGGTTACATCTTGGACAAAGTATTGCTAGATTACGGAGTTGTGTCCTAGTCTTCAATAATTTGCATTTCGTGATAATTCAGATTAACAAGAGTTAGGGTGAAAGTGTATCGTATTAATATGAAAAAGCGCAGAGAACTGTGGCAACATAGAATTTCACGGGCGTTGTTGTAGCCTTCGTGCCTGGTGTTATCCGGAGATGGTGACCGCTCTTTTACCCTCAACGCTTTTGATGGAGAAGGAATATTGAACTCTCCGCTCATGAATGCCGTTTCCTCTACGTTAGGAGACCAAATACAGCTTGGGCGTCGTAAAATCATTCATCCTGCAGGCATTTCTGTGACCAAAACACAGTTTGAGGATAAATTTATAAGTAGTATCAAGATGCACGGAAAGAGCTTTTTTTTAGCTTACAAGAAGGAAGAGAGAAGCAAAAGTGAACATGTGTCTAGCCTCCTTCTCAAAGGGGCCAATAACAATGTGGAACCAGGAAATGGCAGAGGAGTTGAATAAGTACTTTGCTTCAATGTTCCATGGTAGGAGACACTAACAGCTTCCCACAAATACTAAATATTCAATGGGCAAAAAGGGAGAGGAAATAAATGCAATAATTATCACTGGATAAAAAGTGTAGGGGGAATTAATAGGACCAAAGACAGATAAATCCCCTGGACGTGATGGAATGCATTGTAGGATATTAAAGGCATTAGCTGCAGAGACAGTGGATGCACTAATAGTAATCTTCTAGAAATCCTTAGGCCTGATATCTTCGCATCTTTTATTGGGCAAATGTTAGAGTTTATTATGTGATAGCAGAGAATTTAGAAATGTATAAAGTGATCAAGCAAAGTCAGTACAGCTTCATGGGGAGAAAATCATGCCTGAGAAATTGACTACAATTCTTTGAGAAGGTAACATGCAGAATAGATAAAGGGGAAGTAGTGGGTGTAGTGTACTTGGAGTTTCAGAAGGTGTTTAGTCATGTACCACACGTTAGGCTACTTAACACTGTAAAAATCCATGATGTTGAAGATAGTATATTAACATAGATAGAGGATTGGCTAACTAATAAAGTTGTGATCAGAGAGTATTTTCAGGATGGTAACCTGTAACGAGTGTGCACAGTGCTTGGACTGCAATTATTTACAATATAAATGAGTTGGATGAGGCGAGTGCATGTACTATAGGCAGGTTTGCAAATGGAAGAAAAATGGGTGGGCAAGCAGACCACACCAAAATTGGTGGCATAGTAGACAGTGAAGAAGGTTTTCTAAGATTACAAAGGGATCTTCATCAAAGGGGTCAGTGGGCTCAAAAATGGCAAATGGAGTTCAATCCGGATAAATGTGAGGTATTGCTTTTTTGGTACAATAAGCAAGGCTAGGCCTTTTACAGTAAATAGTAGAGCCTTGGGTAGTGTTGTAGAATAAAGGGACCTATGGGTGCAGGTACATAATTCTTTGAAGTTTGCAGCACGAATAGATTGGGTGGTTAAAAAGGCATTTGGCACACTTGCTTGCCTTCACTACTCAGTATTTGAGTGTAGGAGTTGGGAAGTCATGTTGAGGTTATACAGGACATTGGTGAGGCCTGTTGTAGAATAATGTATCCAGTTCTGATTGCCCAGTTATAGGAAGGATATTATTAAGCTGGAGAGGGTTAAGAAGAGATTTACCAGGATGTTGCTGGGTATGAAAGGTTTGATCTATAAGGAAAGGCTGAATAGCCTGTGTCTTTTTTCACTGGTGGATAGGTGTTTGAGAGGTGACCTGATAGAAGTTTATGAAATAATGAGGGGTATAGATAGAGTTAATGATAGTTGTCTTTTCCCTAGGATGTGGGATTTCAAGACTAGGCAACGCATTTTTAAGGTGAGAGGAGAGAGATTTTTAAAAAATACTTGAGGCAATTTTATTCACAAGGGGTGGTTTGCTTGTGGAATGAAGTTCCTGAGGAAGTGATGGATGTGGGTACATTTACAGTGTTTAAAAGACATTTGGATAGATACGTGAATAGGAAAAGTTTGGATGGATATGGGCTGGGAACAGGCAGATGGAACTAGTTTAGTTTGTTATTATATTCGGCATGGATTGGTTGGATAGAAGGGTCTGTTTCTGTGCTATATGACTGTATGGTGAGGATGTCACAAATAGTCTGCAAAGGGATATTGAAGGGTCAACTAAGTGGGCAAAAACTTGCCAGATGGAATATAATGTGGGGAAATTTGAGGTTGTGCATTATCGCAGGAGGAATGGAGGAGCTGAATATTATTTTAATGGATAGAGACTGCAGAAAGCTTCAGAACAAAGGGTGATGGGAGTCCTCATCCATAAATCGCTAAAAGCTTGTATCGAAGTTCAGCAGGCAATAAGAAAACCAAAGGAATTTTGTCGAAAATCACAGAACACTAGGTTATAGTCCAACAGGTTTATTTGAAAAAACTAGCTTTCAGAGCGTTGCTTCTTCATCAGGTGTAGTGAGAGAGGCATCGAGACGCAGAATTTATAAATAAACTATCATACAACCGATGCAAATGTATTGAATAAACCTAAAATGGCTGGCTGACTCCCTCAGTTAGAAAGAAAATGCAGTTTCGATTGACTAAAATGCAAATCCCAGAATTTCTTTCGAGTCACTGCCTCGTGATAACTAAAGGTTTTAATAGTGTATCTCAGGTCAGGCAATGCATTTTAGATGTGAGGCCTTGTTTAGAATCTGTCTGTGTTTCAACTTGGAGTCAGACTGGTTTTATTTCCAAAGCAGGAATTTGTAAGATGCCCCATTGACTGACTGTGTCTACAAATTGTGTGTTTTTTGAACAAAATAAAAAGTATCTGCAAATGCAAGTTCACTCCATAGATTTGTGTGTGTGTGTGTGTGTGTGTGTGTGTGTGTGTGAGAGAGAGACAGAACGTGTATAATGTGTTGGGGTCCCCTGTAGTGCAACATGAACCCAAGCTCATGGCTTTACACCAGATAGATTGGTGACATTTTCTTCCTTTGGACTCATGGCAAGGAATCGCTGAAACAACTACATAGCAATATCAACAAGTTTCATCCCACTATCAGACTTACCAAGGACTACTCTTCAGAATCAGTCTCATTCTTGGACACAGGCATCTCCATCAAGGAGAGACACCTCAGTACCTCAATCTCCTGCAAACCTACGATAACCTCACAATGCTGCACTTCTGTAGCTTCCACCCTAAATATATCTTAAAAAGCCATCCCCTACGGACAAACCTTACACATTCACAGCACCTGCTCAGGTGAGGAGGAACACAACGGACACCTGAAGGTTTTGAAGGACGCCCTCATAAGGACGGGATACGATGCTCAACTCATCGATCGCCAGTTCCAACGGCCCACAGCAAGAAACGGAAATGACCTCCTCAGAAGACAGACACAGAATATGACCGATAAGGTACCCTTCATCGTCCAGTACTTCCCAGGAGCAGAGAAACTACACCATGTTCTTTGCAGCCTGCAACACATTGATAACGATGAGCACCTCGCCAAGATCTTCCCTACGCCTCCACTTCTCGCCTTCAAACAGCGACTAAACCTTAAACAAACCATTGTTCAAAGCAAACCACCCAGCTTTCAGGATAACATCGAC